CCCCAGAAACAAAAAAAAATACATAAAAGTTAATACTCTGACTTGTTCATACCAGTTTTTAAATATAAATGTACTTCTGGAAAGGTGTATGTATGCATGTGGCTATATGAAATCTGAGATGTTAAAACTACTGCTGCTTTATAGAATGGAATAATTTGGGGTTAAGTACTCAAGGCTCATGACACATCATATTTTTATTTAGGTAAATTTTATCTAGAGAATCTGATCCCTTTTATCATTTTAGAGTTAATAAGGTTTTAATGTTCACAGTCACTACTTGAGCAATATCTGATGTGGATGTTAGTTTTAACGATCCTTTCAAAAGTATTTTTAATGCTGGAAAATGTTTACAGGTGGGGACAACTTCTACTTAAGATTCGTATGTCTATTGTCAATGTTAGCACTAGAATATCAGCTTATTTTTGTCCTTTTTCTCTGGTGATACTTCAATAACTTCCTAAAAGATTTTCAGAGGGACTAACTCTAGGTTAACTTTGGGGCGTATGCAGACAGGTGAAGTACATTATCCAGAGGCAACAAGCTAGCTCTACTCACATGCTTCTCAGACTCAGGAGTAGGTTTTCATCTGGTGGTCACACTTTAAGAATTTGTCTTCTGGCATTTTTCCTTTTGAGTAATCTAGAGCAAAATATAAAGTAGTAGAACAGAGAAATATACGACCCTTTCCCTCCAAAGAAAAATCCTGGTATTACAAATTTAAGAATTTGGGCAAATAAAGATTTTATAATGTGCAAAGTAGAACACATCTTGTATAGTTTATTAGTTTTACATACAAGGCAACCACTTAAAAAAATGAAAATTACTAGAAACTCTGTAGTGGGAGGAATAACACCCCTCCAAGATGTCCACATTCCCATCTCCAGGACCGGTGATTCCTTACCTTATATGCTGAAAGGGACTAGCGGTGAGATCCAGGAGTGGATTTTGACAGGAGGAGGTTATGCAAGGATCATCAGGGTGTGTTGTTTTCATCTGTGAGCCCGCTTGTGGAACAAGGTTCAGGGACCCAGACTGGGTGGGCAAGGCGCGGAATCACCACAGAGCCTCTGGGAGGTTTCTGGAATGCTTCCGCTTTATTAAGGAAATGCACAGGCTTATATAGGGTGAGGCGGGGGTGGAGCCAGGGTGGAGTCCGGAAATTTGGCACATCCTTATTGGCTACATGTTAGTTTTTGGATTGTATGCTTTAGGGGCTGAGGCAATGGAGTAAGGACTAGAAGTTTTTGAGAGGAACAGTTTTTCTGTCTAAAGTCAGATCTCTACACACCCGAGGGGGCGGATTATTCCAGCCCTAATAGGCCTCGGAATTTTCTCAGGAGAGATGGGTGCGGTGCTCCTGACTCAACCAGACATTAACCTGATCCTCAAGGGTGGACCTATCAGCAGCACAGCGATCCTTCTGAGGGGTCAGAAGATCAGAGAGACAAGTGATGATGACTGAACCAGAAGGGGTTCGAACCCTTTGAGAACTGAGAATGGATGAAAGGGTCACAAGTCAAAGAATAAAGGCAGCCATGAGAAGCTGAGGTGAGGAAATGCAGTCTTCTCAGATCTGCCAGAAGGAACTAACCCAACGGGAACATTAAATTCAGCTCCCTGAACCTGATTTTTTACATCTAGCATCCAGAACTGTAAGAGGAAATCTTTACATTGTTTTTAAGTCACTAAGCTGGTGGTAATTTGTTACAGCAGCAACAGGAAATTCATACAAGCCCTTTCTCCTCAATTTAATTGATATCAAGTGTTTCTCAGAGTTTAAAATTATAAACATCTAATAATAATCTTAAATTTTGTCAGAGTGATTTCTCAAGAGTCAAGGGAAATTTTAAAGCAGAATGATACCATTTAATAAAACGAGGACCATATCATTTTCACTTTACCAGCTGCATGTTACAATTTAAATCACTCATAAATTGGTCTTTTATTTTGAATTGAACTTTAAAAGTAACTGATTTAACTTTACAAATACATCATTTCATTTATATCTGGGAAGTGTAAGGTTTACAGAGATGCTGAATAGCCATTATGTTTAATTTTCTTTGCAGTTTTAGTGTTGTATTAGAGTATTTACATTATATCATTATCCCTCAAAACAGGAAAAAGTACACTGAATATCCCAGGTCATAATTTACTATCTAACATAATTTTTAAACAATGTGTGACATCCTTTCAAACTTTCAGAAATATTTAGGATGTTAATTATAAAAGTCCTAAAATTGTCCCACTTTTAAAAAACACTAACAGTTTGTTGAGGACTTTTACACTTGAACATACTATTTAAAACAAAATCTACGTGGCAGCCTCACACAAAGTATTTAAAGAAGATGAAGGTCTGTAATTGCTCTATTTAATTAACAGGGACTTTGAGAATTAGACGATGTTTTTAAAAAAAGAAGTTAAACACTTCAGTGTGATAACATTAATTTCACATCAGAATTTAAACTGGTAAAAATTGTATTTACAGGTGTCATCTGCTAGAACTAGTCAATTTTTTTTTATATTGTGAGTTTTTCTTTCCTCAATTACTTATACAAATCAGATGGTAGAGTACTTTAGCATGCCAAGAGGGTTAGATTTGCTTCTAATTTAGCACATGATGTAACAATTTCCTTTCTCTATGTCTGTGGTTTTGGAAGCATTCAGTTTCTTCATTTTGCATTTAAATTGTTTAAAATCACTTTGCCTTTTAGTTCAACATGGCAATGCATATTTTTTAATAGGCTATACTCTAGCATTTAACTCTTGCCCAATATTGCTAGTTAAATCTACTTATATACGTTTGAATAACTTTTACAATTTACTTTGGATTAGCATTAAATTTACAAGTTGGCATATATAATTAATCTAAGATAAATAACTTTATAGTAAGGAGGCAAAAATTTGAATTCTTATTTTTTGCAGTATCCTACATGATGAGCAGAGTAGGATGTTACTTTACTACAGATCCTAAATGATGCCAAGGTATAAATAATATCTGGTAAATACTTGCTTAATAAAATATTCGCTATATAATACTCACTATGGGGAACATACATATTGTTATAGTTAAGTGGGGCTTTTTTCCATTTGTAGCAAAAGAGAAGGGAGTTTAATAATTTAAATTTCTACAGTGTATAAAGTACCTTAATGTAGCACAGATACCTCTCACAATATCTGTGCCTCTTTATATATGCTTTTGAGACACTTGATGAGATTAAAATACCAACAGAAAATATATGCATGTATTTACTGATACTTTACTTGTCTTTTGAGAGATTTTATATATAAATCACATTACCAGTTGTATCTGATAAATTCTACATATGAGAAACTAAATCACTCTACTACAGTTAACTACCAATGATATATTAGGTTTCAATGTTTTTTAAATAAATGGATGTTTACAGAGCTAATATTGCCATGCTTTACAAATAAACAAACCAATCATCAAAAAGAGGTGCATAAACAGTAAAACATCTAGTATACCATATTAACATGTTTTCAGAGTTGGACGTGATTTTAGGTGTCTCTGGTCTACATCCACTCTATGATTAAGTTGATCTGTTGGATTTCAGTGTGCTAGTTGGTGGCTGATCTGTTGTCCAAGACCTCCCTCACCTGATTCCTAAGCAATATGAACAAGCACATTTTATGTTAATTTACATGTTATGGTGCAGGTTTATCAGCCATTTCTTTTGGCAGAACAAAAATGACAAAAGCGACACAGGGCCTGCTACATTGTGCGTTTTCAGAAAAAATCTTTTATCCAGTTGGCTGAATTAAATTCTAGTGGCAGAATTAAATTCTAGTAGTAGAAATATACTAAAAGTGGTCTCAGAAATATGTCATCAATTTCATTAAGCACACAATATTCATCTAACTCCTAGACTAGAACACATAGTTTTACTGACTCTACAAATAGTGTTTAGGCTCTTCTGCCCATTTCTTCCTAAAGCTGTAGAACAGAGGTACCAGAGTTTTCTTTCTGAATTGTATACTTTTTGTATTAGAATACATATGAAATGTATAAATTTATATTGTGCACGTAGATTTCTTTTGTGCCAAAAATTTCCAGTAGTAAAAATATTCTGATAGATTTCCTAAAATATGTAATGCTGAATAAATCTAGTAAGTCACCAAAATACAGTATACACCTGAAAGAGGAAGTAAAAGTGCTTTCTAATACTTGAATTTCTAAGCTAATTATAATTTGCCTTTTTAAATTTCAAAAATAATATAGTCTGTTCACAAGTGATTTGAACACCTCATCAGCCATAATATAGATTGTTTCCATTTTAAGCAAATAGATCCACTCTGAAGCAATAAAACTGATAAACAAAACTTAAGATAATGAAGTTCATAGACACCCAGATCTTGCATTCACTAGGATTTATTATAAAAAACAAATAATGAATAATTTATTATTTAAATGTTAAAATTCAAGGGAAATATAACCAAAGCACTTCTTTCTCTAATAATTTGAAATATAGAGGGTTTAAACCTTATATATTTTTGTCAAAATAGTAATTCACCATGGATGACAGATGCTGCTCCCTAGTCAGTGGAGAGTCTCAAATTTTACTCTGCATCTCATTGGGAAGGAAGTACAAAATTTTTAAATAGAATTAACTTTGGGAAAGGCATCAGTGCTGCAACTCTTAGCACCAAATGTTTTTTCTGGGAGCACCAAATGCTTTAAGGAAAACATTCCAAGTATCAAAGTTTTCAGATAGATAAATATTTATGGATCAAATCCATAAAGAACAGACATTGTTATGAAATATATATAGATGCCTTCAAAACTTTCTTTCTAGGCAGAGTAGACACATAAGTTAGGAATCATTTCCCACTTAATTGTTTTTGCAACCTTATGCAAGAGAAATGGACAGTGGATAAGACTTACTCATCTATACACAGAAAAGTAGATCTTTGCTGACATCATGTCCAGAAAATTACACAGGAGCTATTTCTCTATATATATGAAGTATCATAGAACTTATAGAACAGGCTTTATTTTAGTTTATTTTCCTGGTTGAAAGGTGTAGAGATTTTTAATCTACTACTTAGGTAAGTAAACTATTCTTTTAGAATAAATTCTTTCCATTTCTTGGTTATCATAATCAGAGAAAAAGCATAATGCAGATCTGGTTAATGTCTTTAAGGACAATGAAATTCCATCTGTGTTTGAACTTTGTGAATGGCACTTCTTTTTTCAGTCTCCATGTAGATCAATGCCATCTCTTTCCTCACTGAGAGTTTTATTATTTTTATTTGAAATTTGCATTACACATCTCCATAGAGCAATTTTGCCATTTAAAAGTACAGGTTAATCTACAATGCTCATGTAGCAAAGTACAAGTGTGCTATGACACTAGAGAAATTTACAGTAACCACTAAAGAAACACAGCCTGCCCTTTTGTACTATCCTTGATGCTCTTAAAATAACATCACTGGGTATGCACTAATCAGAAATGTAAAAAAGTAGCAATAGGTCCTGCTCCAGATGCAAACATAGAGCAAATGTTCATAAGAACTCAATGCAAAAAGTGTTGGGCGTACTGTATCAGGCTTCCCATGTTGTACTGCTTAAATGGATGCTGTCAAGAGTATCATATGTGAACGTGTTAGTTACTTTGCAACTGAATACTATTGCATTCCTGAAACTAACCAGGACAACTGTATAGTTAAGTCAAAGAAATCATGAACTTTCTGTGGACTTAAAGAAAACGATAACAGAGGCACAGGTAAAAATTTTATTTATGAATATGTGGACACATCACGTTGGATCCAGCCAGCCAGTGACATAAATAAACTTGAGCCAAAGATTCAAGCTAGAGAATATATATGTATTTGTGTGAGTGTATACGTGTGTGTGTGTGTGTGGTGTGTGCATAAGGGTTCTCGAAGCAGTGTCAGAAACCTGGACACCAACCATCAGAATCATTCCCTTTCTTTAAAATTTCTATGAAGAGCACAATGGGGATCATTGTACCAGGAAGATCCAAATCGTTCTTTCCATCTTGTGCACTCACATGCCCACCAAACACGAAATGTTCGTTTTTCCTCCCGATGTGATGGTTGTTGAACTTATTTTTAGTGTCATTTGATAAGCCTTTGTGCTTGCAGAGAGACATCCCACTGACCCGGCCACTGGTCATTGTCTATACCAGTTCACGTCAAAGCAGGCACGCTTTGTCAGGTTTCGAGTTGCATATCCATTTCGCATCTGAAGTACAGTATCGAAAGTGACTAGATCATTTGAGCTGTTTTCTTCAGCTGCTGCCTTCTTCCTCCCCTACAGTGCCTCAGCTCACACTAACATAATTTGGCATCATCGATGTGACACGATGGTGGTGTTTCTAAAAAATTATAATATATATATACTGTCAATGGTTTTTTATGGCAACCCTCCTGGAAATTTAATTTATAAACTGAAGAAAGGAAGCCTTTTTCTGGTATTGAATCATAACCAAGGTAGAGTACTCCTCAAAATCCAAGTAATGCACATACAGTACTAGGTCATTCAATGTCAAAAGGCATAAAAAAAGATGAGCAAAATCTTCACAGGCTGCTGCTTGCTGTTGCCTTTAATTATATTAATTAAACTTTGAAATTTTCATGCAAAGAGAGTTGCTGGCTTGTGACGCTGGAGCCCTTGGAGACTTGAAAGAAGAAGCAGAAGAAGAAAAAAAAAAAAAAACCCTGAGCGGAAGCTTTGTGGTTATTGCTTCCTTTAAATTAAAAGCAAAACAAACTCCTAGGTAGGTTTACAGATATTAATGCTTTATGCACTATTACATCCTGAACACAGGCAAAGGGGGTAAATCCACTAGGCTCAGAGAAAAGACCTCAAATCGTGAGTCCCTTAAATTCCACTCCAGGTCTTTAGTTAGAGGCTGTCTTCCTTTGGAATAATGCTCTATTAATTTTCTTGTCCCACGTGCATAATGAAAGAGAGGTGTCTTCGAAAACTAAAGGGCAAAATCCTTCTTGCTACCAATACCTTGAGGCATCCTGTCTACGTTTTGTCATGCGTGTACACTTCTCTGTTAGAATGACAAGATTTTCTAGTCAGAAACTTCCCGTAAGGCACACTGTGATTGGGGACTTGGAAGGATTTTATGATCTGACATAGCTATAAGGCAATGGACTCCATTATTTTCTTAGCCTGGTGGGAATTTTCATACGCTGCCTATGGCTAAAGATCTTGCCACACTGACACACAAGTGCCACTGTCCATGTTAAAGACTCCCAACTCCATCTTCACAACGCTGGTGCTGCGCCACTTCTACACATTCAAACAAACTTTCTTGTATAAGGCATAACATGCAGATTAACATTCCTCTATTTTCAATGTCACGAGTCATGAGTCACTACTGAGTATCATCACTTCCCTTGTAGATAGCAGAACAAGTGTTTGAAAATGTTTGGTGCAAGTAAAGCAGAAAGCAAAGAAAACATTTCCTGATGGAGAGGAATGAAACTGCTTCTTCAAGAGCTTTTGAAATGCACTTGACTTTTTTCATTTGGTTGGAAATCAGCACTGTAAAAGCATGGCACCCTCATACCATCTTGGTCCTCTTGGTTTCTTCTTATTGAGATGGAACTCGGGAGAAGTTTATACATCGACCCTGAAAAAGAAAGAAATCTTCATTGAAATAGTGCAGCAATTATTTTTAAAAAGTATGAGAACACCCAGTTTTTGCACTATAATATAAAAATAATTACCCAAAGCTCACATGAGACACAAAATCATACATCCCCCACTTGGATCCAATCATGATAGTTGCATGAGTCAAAGCATCAGATTAGTTCACTGAGATGATGGTATGGCAAAGTTCACACCAAGAAAACCATACAGAACTAGAACTTTGTTTCTGCTATTTTAAGTAGAGCACAACTATCATGGCAACAAAAATATCAAAGTTATCGCTGTCTAATCCTTCCTCTAATTAATTAAAAGTAAGTATTCTCTTATACACAGTCTGGTGCCCCTAACATGTGTACATGGTGAGCACATTTAAGATAGAGTAGAGACCGAGGCTAAGAAATCAGGAGAATGGAAAGTGATGCCATCTTTTTTATTCTATTTCATGAAAAGTTTTTGTAGCAGCCAGCCTTCGTGATCACATCTACCACTGCTGGCCACAGCTGCACACCCGCATGATGTGTTCCTTCCAAATGATGACTATTTACTTCAATTACACATTTTCAAAGAGACCCTGCCAGTCCAATTTCTTAACATTTCAGAGAAAGCTGTATAGACATCTTGTTCTATATGTAAATGACCCAAGAATGAAAAAAAAAATTGCAATTACTGATGCCCTCCTTTCCTCTCCTGCATCTGACACTAGTGATCCGTGGCTCATGAATCCTGACCACAGACCTCAGCCCATGAAAAGCTCGGACATCGCTTTCTAGTTTAGGGTCAGGATTCTCATCCTATTGAGATTTTTCAATTTTTTATAAAACCTCCTATCCCACCATTTTAGATTTTAGAGCTTTCTTCTCCTGTAAGTGTGAATAAAAATTATTTTAAAGATCCAAAGCATAGCAAAATTGAAAAGAAGAAATGTTGTTGAAGAACAAAGTTGGAACATAAAAGCACAATTTTTGTCCACCTCCCTTTTAAACTTAACTGCTGGATACATTTTGAAATTTAAGAAATTAATTAAGAAAAGGATGAACATAAATGAAAAATGGAGCGTTGATTTTTCTATTTGCTTTAGCTAAAGGGTAAACATCCATCAAATTTTTTGTCTTATAAATAATTCTGGAGGCAATACTATTACCATCATTAAAATTTCACTAGTTTGGGTTTAATGTCTTTGAACTCAGGTGGCATAAGTATACAGAGGACAATATAACATGTAATATATTATAAATCATAATTATAAATATAAATAATGTTGAATTTTCTTTTCCTGAATTTAAAATTCAATATATTTCTAAATAACTTTGAGTTAAAATATTCTAATAGGGCTCGGGATTTAGCTCAGTGGTTCTGCTGCCTGCCTGGCAAGCGTAAGGACCCGAGTTCAATCTCCAGTACCAAAAAAATTTAAAAAATTTTTTAAAAAATGCTCTAATATGCAATTGTGGGTAAAATCTAAATATACTGCCAATGTGACGCATTAGGTTGCACCCATACTGCTTCTTCGTTTAGGCACAATCCTTGCTATTTATTCAGCTGGGTAGAATCCATACTACCTACTTAATTAGGCAATCAGTCTAACCAATTTGAATTTTGTATCATGCTTTACAAATAATTGAATTATAGACTGTACCAATTAAAATATTTTGTAATTGTTTTTAATTCAATATAAAATTGAATTAATACCTTAAGACCTCATTAGTTTAAAATGGTTTGGATTAGATTAGGTTCTATTCTTATGCCTTGGGACTGTAGTACCCCTTGGTTGCATTTAAATCAACATTAAATTTATTCATTTTGCATGACATAATTACTGCAAGTAGAGCTTCTTACTAAATATTTAAATTTAAATAAATGAGCCAGGAGTGGTGGTGCACACATAAAATTCCAGCACTCTGGGAGACTTACAGAGAGGGATCGCATTTTGATCCCAAGCTAGGCAACTCAGCAACTTAGTGAGACTCTCTCAAAATAAACAGTAAAATAGGACTGGGGATGTAGCTCAATGAAAAGGCCCTGGGTTCAAGCTCTGGTGCCATAAATAAGTCAAGAAAGAAAAGAAAAAGAAATTAAACATAGGCAGCATGAATGGATTTTACAGACTTTAGGTTATAGCCAAATACATAAAAAGTAATTTAGAAATTGCGATATTCAAATATTTTATGTTACAAAATTCTAGAATTTCATCGAAATGGCTGTTTAAGCTTTTGATAAGGTCACATGTGACTAATTTTTAAAATGTGTTTCTGTACATATGTGCAAGTACCTGCAGGCAAACATGTACAGCCTACATCTAGACTTGCACACAAGTGAGTTTCTTCAATGTTTATATCACACCAAACTTTCTAAACCTAATACCCTGTGTCTCAATATCCATCTCTCTAGCTATTTAACAACACAGAATACCTTAGGCACCTTTCTCCAGATTAACTGGCAAAACCCCTTATGAGAGGGAGTGTTATGGTTTATATTGAAGTGTCCCCCCAAATCCTCCTCTCCTCATAGGTTCAGTTTTTGGAAAGTGATTAGATTATGAGGTGCGGCAGCTGACCTGTCTCTTAGGAGATGGAGCCTGGTCTGCAGCAGCAGGTCACTGGGGGCATGGCCTTGACGGGTGTATCCATCCCCCTTCTGATTCTTCCTTTCTATCTCTGCTTCCTAACTGACACGACTAAGCTGTTTTCCTCCATGCAGGACCTTCCAGCATGCCAACTATAACTGAAAACAAGAGCCAAAATAGCTGTGGGTGTCTGGAATTTTATCTCAAGGAAGGGAAAGTAACTGAGATAGGAAAGCTCTAAGTGAAATGCCAGACACCTATGTATGTATGTCAGTGGTATTTTCATACTGTAGGGTATGAATTTACATAGGTGACTTACAGACTTACCACGACTAGGATAAAGCACAAGAAAGGGGCAGGTAGCGAAAATGCTGACCTCTAAAGCCTGACTGGACTAAGAAGCTCTACTGTCATTGACCTTTCAGAGTTGCAGTTAGGTACTCCGTAACATTTTGTCTATGTTAAAAACATCATTTCATAGCTACTAATCCAGATATTTACATGACTATCTTAAGTCAGATCGCCAGTAAACTTTATATACCTTGACCTGGTTTCTTTACTTCTCTTATAAATGTGTTCATAAATCTAGAACAATGTAATATTATCCCTTTAAGCTTTTGTTATAGGAAGTATATGAGTTTTGGCAATATAAAGAGGATTTTGCATTTTGGAAAATTGTTATTGGTGACACTGATATTAAGGAATCGATTCACATGGCAGTTCAGAACTGGGAAAAAGCTGATTTCTATAAGGAAACTCATATGCTTCCTTTTTATTATGTAATAGCAACTATATAACTCAACATTTTTATCCTTACATCTTGGCTTGCAGGAATCTCATCTTTACAACATGTTTTAATAGCATTTGTTTTCCTTAGAGGACATTTTCTCATACGTGTGTGCTGTGACTTTGACCTATGATTATTGCTCTAGTTTTATTACTCTGAGGTTTTATTTTATTTTTTTCTCTCAGTACTTCTTTAGAAGTAAACTAGGTACACGTAAATAAAAATTATTACAGATTTATTTCTTAATTCTCAACCTTCTCAATCATAAGAATACCAAAATTAATCTTAACCTCTAATGTTTTCTAATAAATGTGTTGCCTCAAGCTCATCTCACACAAAGGGAAGGGTCAAGTGTATTTCTTCTTTATGTTGCCTTTTTCACTGAGGTATAACTTAAGGACATACTTTTCAGATACCTGGTGTCGAATGATGATTTTACTTAATCTGAACTAAATTAACATAGACAACAAGAACGTAAAGTTTAAATATGTAAAAATGTTGAAACTTACTATCCTCAAAAGTTCTTCTATAAGAATAAATCCTATAACTCTAAAGACTGAAAATTTAACTGCATTTTCTTTGCCTGCTAGAAAAAGGAAATACAGTATGATTTCTTACAAGATGGAAATGTATTAAAATTTCCAAAAGATCTTTCAAAGAAATCTCACTCTATTAAAAATTTTCCCTCAGTACAAGATGAAAATGCACCTAACATATAAATCACTAGTATCATAGTCATAACAAAGCTAAACTCACAATCATAATCTATCAGCTTTAACTTCACTTATATGATTTTTAAGGCAATAATTAGCATCCATTACAGTACAAAACTTATTGACATTTTCACAGAAATTGTTGCTGGCAAGAACACCTCTTGGGCTTCAACCACTAGGAAATGAAAGGAAGAGAAAAATGTCTGATATTATATTACTACTCATAGTTAACTAAAATAAGAGTTGAAGAAAGGTAATGTAGGAACTGATGTTTGCTCTAGGTTAAGCTAATGAGACAGCTGTGTTGCAGAATTTTAAAACTGGTTTCACTCCTTCATTTTTACTGTGGCCAGTAAGAGCAGCACTAACCAGAGCAACTGCCATCTCTTGAGCATTAAAATTCCACTGGCATTAACACTTGTGAACTCCTTTACTAGCTATCTGTACTGGATGTATTTCACTGCTATAACCGTTATAGGATTATGCTTCTCTCATAAATATCCATTGACAAGCTGAAGCAAACAACTGTGCTTTAGTTTAGAATTTTCAAACACAGATAGCTGATTTATTTATCTCTACTTCTATGAAGAGGTTAGTAAACCTTCATAGTCTGTGCAATAGTGAAGTTTCAAACTTAAAATCCCACACCAAGTGCAGATGCATAAGACTTATACATAGAGACAAACCCAGAGGTCCTGGAAATCACTTATAAAGAGAGATGTGAGAACACAATCAGTTTTTTGAGTAGAGATTTTATCTAGCAACTGAACATACAAGACTGAAAAGAAGGCACACACTTTTCCTTTTTCTCAGTTTATAAAGGATCTGTGTTAGCCTTTACTCTAAATAAAACTTGAAGATTTTGAGCAGAAATATGATTCCACAGAATCCTTTTTTTTAATGGAAGCTTACCCTAT